TTTGTCATGCTTGTCTGGCATGACTCTTAAATCTGTCATGCACTTTACCCAAGAGCCCCATTTTTCTGTCATGCAGAAACGCAGTTTGTCATGCAGAAGAGCCAACATCTAGAAGCTCAAAAACTTGTCATGCTGAGCCAGGACTCGCGGCCTCCTCATGATACGCCACCCAGCATCACAAGTTTCCAGACCCAGACATGTTTGCAAAGCATAGGCTTTTTGATCGAAGGAGCCCGACGCGACCCCATTGCCGGCCAAGAACGAATAAACCCGGTCCCAGGCGTACTCTGGCAGGGCACCTTCTGCGCCGCTCGTGCTGGGTGTCAAAAAAGTACTACTGCTGTCGGGTTCAAGGACCACATCGTCGGTAGCTTTGGGAGATTCGGCTGCACCAGCTCCCGCAAGAGACTCCTGCGCCGTTTGAGGGTTGGTCACCTGCTGCTGCCCGTCGGGGATTATCCTGCGCAAAAGTATCGTACCTACTCGTAGTACTTGCAGTTATGCATTACAAGTCTTGTTCTTAAGCTAAATTCGCATTTGAACAAATTTTGTTTCTCCTGCTGAGGAAATCGAAATTTGTGATGCATTTCTACGAGTACGATAAGTACGTTTGCAACGCATAGTGATTCTGGTGTGCGACGAGTCGCTGGAGGCCGATGCGGCGACCAGGACAGATTTGGTGCTCCAGAAAAGCAGGAGCACCCGAGATGCCAGTGCGTGCTTCATTGTTTTTGAATCTGCAAGAGACACGGGCTTCAGGCGTGTGTATGTTGCAGTCGAATCAATGATGAAAATAAAATTGTACGCAGCAAACTACTGGGACTAGTAGATAAAAGGAAAAACAAAATTTTTCAACAAGGCCGACAAGTTCAAGTTTTCTAAATCAAGTATATGAAATCTTGATGTCGTGTGCGGAAATGCCGAAAATATTGTATCAACTAAAAAGTAGAAATTGCAGTATCAGTAGAGTTTGAAATAAAGACAAAAACATGGAAGATGAGGTTGAAAAGCTTCGATGCAGCTAATCTTCGCCTGTTGAAAAAAATATTGCATTTTGACGTTCCAGCACTGGAAACATAAGCAAAAAATCCCGCTACAACTTCTACACGCTGACCAGCCCATGCTGGCGCTTGTTCCA